ACATACACACACAAACACACATGCACACACACAAACACACACACATACATGCACACACAAACACACACACAAACACACACATACACACAAACACACACACACACACATACACACACATCTTTTTGTAAGTACTTTCCACTTTTAAAGCAAAAGGCAAAAACCTAAATGTAACTATTCTGTTCTTTTATCCATCACCTACATAAAAATTAGCATCCGCATTTCTGAAAACTCGAAACCTAACTTGCCAATGACTGTCTCCCTTGCAAAGTCACATACTTAGTTTCTCTCTCACACTCGCTCTTGTTCTTGCTCTTACTCTCTCTGTTTTTGATTGAGATAAAGTCCCATGCAATCACTATGCCTGACTCTTTCTTTTTTAACTAAACAAATTTATAAACATATCTTGCAGGCAAAAAAATAATAAAAAGATATATTTAAAAATACAGAATTGTGTTATGTTTATGTTATAATTTGTATGTGAGTCACAAGACTCTTACACCCATAGGATAGTGTCTTCATTACACCATTATTTTCTGTGTAACTTCCTGTACTCTGATGAGCTTGTACTATAATGTATTTATTTATTTGTTTCTGGGGTAAAGAAGGTACTAAAAAGATATTTCAATTAAGTAATACCAAATACCTAATTATTTACAAAACAAAAACATCCAATAATACATCATAATTCCTTTAAATTTTCAAGTGAGTTTCATGATTTACACTATTTCTTCAAGCCAATTTTAGTTGTGCCTCAAGCCCTGCAGGAAATTTCAGTGCCCACCTGAAACACCAGAATATGGAACTGAGTTTCATCTGGAAATCTAGCCTATAAAAACTACTGTAGACAGGTGTCCCTCCGTTATAATGTATAACAACCTGAAAGGCGGTCCTCTTTATATCTGGGCTTTAATAGCATGTTTATACTCTGAGCTAAAGACTGGGAATATGAAACAATGATTACACTCAAAAAGATTTTTTGGTGCCAACTGAATGGTAGGTATTTCCAACAAATATGTAACTTATTTTATAATATTTCTTTATAAATCATAAACCCCAGAACTTACCCAATAGACCCACAAACAAAATTAGTATCTTTTTATAGGTTTTCTCATTCCATCCTACTACATTCAACATTTCTATGTGAACAGAACATGACTGCCAAAAACACACTCAGAATTCCTCTGTTAACAGATACTTGTAAAAATAAAACTTTTGAAAGCACATAAAGAGAAGAAACAGCATGTTCTATGGTCTGGGAGGCTGGGAAGAGCTCAGCATGACTTTCATTAGTCTTCGGCCCTGACAGCATTACCCTTCAGTGTCTCAGATCCCAAATGAATAGAGTAGTTCTCATTACGAGGGCTGATGAAGAACTATTTGTGTAATTTGGTTTTGTTTATGACTTTTTAAAATGGTACTCCTAATGGAAAATCACCATCAAAATAATTTACCCAATTTTGAACCCTGAAAGAGGCTCAAAGGTTGTTGCTTACAAAGAAAGCAGACATTTAACCTGTGAGAACCCTTGCATTTCATATTACCTATCCACTTTTATGAACTGCAATGGGAAAAGTTAACATGCAATAAAATCCGGAGAAAAGAATGTGAGAATGAACCAGAAGGTGATCTCAGAGCAAAAGCTCATACTTAAACTCTGCAGGAAAAAGGCATTCAAAGAAGAAATAGGTTTGTGATTGAAGCTTCTTAGGGAAAAACAGAGTTTTCTTGGTATCACATTCTAAGGTTGGTTCATCATGGTAGTGGAGAAAGCTTACTAAACAATATGAATTCGATAACACAGAAATGGTTTCAGCAATTATTTTGCTGAAGTTACACGAGGGTCTTTCATGTGATTGTACTAAATTTTATAACATTAAAATATAAACTGATTACATGCAATAAAATGATAAATGAGAAAGACATACAAGTGCCAGGTATCAGACCCCAAAGAAAAATCCTTTGCTCATCCAGAAAGGGGACTTGAAAGATCTACAGTCATGTGTGTGTAGGAGGTCTCTCTCATTAATGGTTGATTTACATTGTCAATTTAATGACCCTCTTTTTTAAATGCTGAGGAGCAGAAATTTGTGCTGTTGGCTGAAAACATAGGAATATCATCTTGTGATGTTTCCTTCCTGGAAAATTATCATATCTGTACTATTTCCTCTGGAAGAATTGTCTTTCTTCTTTGTAAGCTTGTGTCATAAGGACCTACAAGAAGCATGTGTGTTCAGAAAACATCATTTACAAATGTTTGGGGCCCATCCCAAAGATCTAGAGAAACAAGATTATACAAACTCCTGCCTTGGCCATTAAAGGAGTTTTGCTTTTACTCTTTGCCTCACATAGCCTGAAAATGTGTTTCAGTATGTATGCTCACTCTAAGGAAGTCCTTTATAAGAAGGATTTGATAGCCTTGCCATGTGAAACACTTTGAAAATTCTCAGTGTATGAGAACTTTACATTCTGAGAAACAGGCTCTAAATTACGTTAGATGCTTCTTAATCTAGCCATGAGATGTGTATGCACTACTCCAAAACCTACTTTTTTTCCATTTAATGAATGGTTTTTGGTTTCTTAAATCTACAATGATTGTGTGAATTCAAAATCAACTTCAATTCTATCTCAAAAATTGAATTTAAAAGCAGTTTTATATCGTTTCTCTAAGATCACTTAAGTGTCAGAAAAATGTATCCCTAATATCTGTTTTTCCTGGGATACCATTTCCTCCTGTAGTGTACTGGTTTGAGTGCCCTGCTCACTTATACACGAGAAGTCCTGACTCTGGTAGAGAAGCGCAGGTGAGCTGAGTTAGAGCTATGAGTTTTACCAGGAAAGCCATCCTACCTGAAGAAGTTTAGAATTTCAGAATAAAAGTTCCAGGCCTTACCTGTCTTGCTAACACTTTAAATGAATTATTTATAGGCAGCTAAGCTATTAGGCTACAAAGGGTCTGTTAAATTTATGTGGTTCTTCTGGCGCATATGAAAGACCTTCTCACCAAGCGGACTGACAACCCATGGCGAAGCCCTTGAGACGTAGAGGAAGAGGCGGAAACAGAGTAAGAAAGCTCTGGAGCAGACCTCTGAGAAGAGAAGCCTGAGGAGAGGCGTTCTGGTGAGAGACTCTAGATGATTGAGATGTACAAGGCGTCAAGGTGCCAACGGAAGGAGCACGAGATAAGGACAAAATACCGACTAGAGTTTGCCCCACCTGCCAGCGTGCCTAACACCACCAATAGGAAGCCGATTTCCAACTGTCCTTTCTCTGAGGAGTTATGGCGAATCACACAAGACTCTTATGCTCTCGTCGCTCATCATTGCCACGCATAATAAAAGCGATGACGGTGACCTCGAGGCCGCTCGTCAGTAAATCTTACCCCTACATCTGACCTGTCCTACTCTTGCTGAAATAACCGCCTGGGTGAAAGTATGGCCTCATTGTAGCAATCAGAAGGATTCACCCCGATCACCAGAAGCATGAAGCAAAATCTAAGTTCATTGTGTTTTATTGTGATTATTAGGGGAAAGCTTAACTTTTACGAAGAACCAGGTTTTTCTATTTAAATAATGTATCTCTAAGTAGGGTGATGTCCACCAGCAGGTAAGACCTGAGCATATTTATGAGGAGTGAAAAGAATTTGGCCTAAAAACCACCTACCTCCATCCCCTACACTCCAGCACGGCACATAATGCACAGAAAAGAGGGCTAGGTAGGCCTGCCTCTGTCCGACCACCTGCCTACTGAACAAAAAGTAGTTTGCTGCTTGAGCCATTCGTGTAACTACCAGGAATTTGAGAGAAAAGAGAGACTTGTTTATTATTATATAGGTTACTAACTAATTATATAAGGTTGGAAGACCTCTGAGATAAATATGCACTTTAAGGACAGTTTTGGATTTTTGAGCAGTTATGGTTATAGCAGTTGCTTTACAGTATTTACATACTTAAGTAAATATCAATCATACTTAAGTCCATACACATGGATTTAAGTATAATTTACCTTCAAAATGTTTTAAACAGATTTACATTATAACTGTGCCAAGTGTTACCAAGGTATACTATTTCTATTAATGAAACTGTAATAGTATTTACTTAGTACATAAGATGACAATTTTTGTAATTTCACTCTAAGATCCACCCATATTCAGGATGAAGTAATAACAGGAGTCTGTTCAATGGATTTCTGTTACTCTAGATTAATCCTAGTTCAACGACTAGAAGCCGCAGCTTGAGGCTAGTGCCTGCTATTTAACATTTACGATTTTTGCATACTTACAGTCTTTGTGGGAGATAATACAAAGCTGACAGTTCAGTCCTTTGTTTTAAGAAGCAGAAACTGTTCATTTTCTACCTACTTAAAAACTTTTAATTTTCAGTGCTGAATTCTAAAGTACGTAACAGATAACTAAACAATCAAGCTAAAACAAATAATTAGAAATCATTGCACCCCCAGGAAAAAAAAAAAGCGTTCCCCATATACACACACACACACACACACCCCAAATAAACCTTCTATGTGTTACAGTCCTCTTCTTTGCCCTAGTCTTTCCTAAATGCTTGCCTAATACTCCCAAAAGATCTAGAAAATGTACACTCCAGTACAGTAGCTATCAAATTCAAATTTATCTCAGCACAGAAACCCTGCCCTTGAGTGTAATCAGTTCAAAGAACTAAGGACTGTATTTTCCAATTCGAAGAGTGTGCAGCTGCTCACTCAGTAACAGGGAGAGATTGCACAATGCTTCAAAAGTTTTTCCAGTGCTATGTCACTCATGCGATTGAATAGCTAAGATGTTTTAAAAGCATATTTTTGAGGAATTGATAAGAGCTTGTGTACAGAGATTCGGGAAGTAGCAAATAAAAGGATTTCTTGTGTCTGCATGAAGTTACACTCTGCTGTTCTGCCGCAGCTTTAGTGCCACATTCCTCAGGTTGAAGATGAAGAGAAACCACTGTGGCTGAGAGCCCTGGCGCCACCTGGGATGCAGCAGGACTTACCTAAAGATGGGTCTTTGGAGATGCTTCTTCCTGATTGTGACATACTCATCCATTTAAAGATGACGGTTTAACTTCTTCCTGGAAAGTGCTCCAGAAACTCCAGGGAGGGAACCGTGGAAGCTTATCCTGAGCTATTGTGCTGTAAGGAGCCCAGAGGAAAAAAGTGGTTTCCTCTTTCTCTTTTTGGGTGCTGGGAGAAAACTTCCCTGTTCTCTGCCAGCTGGGCAGTGTGTCCATAGAGGCCACATAAGACAGGCACGTCAGGGCACTCCCCCACAGAGCAGGGTGTGCAAAACCCACCAGAGTCACGCTGATACAGGCAAGGGAAACAGCGGAGACCCTCGGAACCGGAAAAAAAAAAAAAAAACAAACAAACAGAAACCTTCCTACTCCGAGGGACACCCAGGTAGGAGCTCCCCTAAGTTACTGAAGCCATGAGAGCTCCTTCCTCATGCTGGTCAAACCGGCGAGGCTAAGTCCCTCCCTGTCTTTAAAACAGCCCGTTTCTGAGGCTCAACTTTTTTTTCTTCAAAATAAAAGTTGCACAGCTGGCTGAGCAGTCCCAAGTGAGTGCCCTCCGCAAGCCAGTCCTGTTGGAATTGAAACTGTGTCTGAATAACTGCAGACGGAGCTCTGGAGCTGCACATCTGGCTTCAAGGGGCTGTAATTATCTCACCATCTTTAACTCACGTTGAATGAAGTGCGGGATAAGACACCCTTTTGGACACTCACAACTTGATAATCTATACTCAGGCTGAGGTCAAAGATGCCGTTTTAGTTGGGAGAAGTCCCTCAGTGTGTTGGCCAGAGTCCAGAAGTTAGCAAAACAAGAGTTGCTCAAGCCTATTAGTGAAAATGTACCCAGATGCCTCTGTCCTCAAGTGCAGTTTCCCAACTATGAAAATAGCACCACCAAAGAGAAAACAAAACACGAACAAGGATACACATACATAAATAAACAAGCCCAAATTATCAGAGTGCCTAAGATTTTATAGTGTGGGGAAATTTTTAATTTTATAACAATAAAAGGGAAGACAAATAAGTAGAAAAGATATTGTGAACAAATTTGTGAGCATTGTTTCATTAGAACCCGAGGCTTTCACTCCATGAATAGCCCAAATTACAGAGAACATAAATCCTAGTTTTTCAAGGAAACTTATTTTGAAGACTTTCCTGAGTTGTTACTTAAGCTCCTGACAGACCAGGCCAGAGGTTCAGTATATAATGAGCCATCTCAGAGCATGATTAAAATGTTTTAAAAGTACATGCCATAAAGGAAAAAGTAAGGTGTAGGTGTGGCTTTGTTTGAATGATCCATCAAGAGCTGGATCAAAAGTCTCAAAGGCAGGGAACCATTTGTAGCCATGTGCAAACGGTTCAGGGAAGTAAGGCCACCTTTTGCTTGTTATCACTAAAGAGATAGTGATAAAGAGAGGAGACATATAACAACCACTGATTTTATAGAGAAGTTCTAATCCGTGCCAGGAAGTGAAAAGCAGGCCGAGAGGGCATTGAGCCAAAATAAGATTAAGGTGTGCAAGTTCAGCTCTGTCTTCCAGTGACCACGGGACAAACTTCTTGCTTGTCTGGACTCCAGTTTCATTGCTTATGAAATGACACACCTATGTGCATACATTTGCAGAGAGCTGTCTAAGTCAATGTGCCATCGTTAGCAACAGCACACAATCATGGATTCCCGTGACTTCTTACATGGCCGTGACTTAGCATGGAGACCATTCAAATCCAGGCCACAGGCGGACCTGTGTAACACACCCTCTACCATAATCATAGGTGTTGGCTTTCTTTGTCACATGGAAAGCACGTAAAAATTAACACATTTTAGACTTTTTCCTGGAGAGACTTTCTCATTAGTAGTGGCTGTATGTCTCTACAGTAATGGCTTACCTCTACAACTCTTAATACGACATAAATATATCTCCAAAGAAATAGGCCAAGGAAATAAATCATAAGCTTAAAACTTAATTCCATCTTCCTTTCTGCTGAAAAAATGTAACATGCTTCTTGTGAGATGGCTCAGCAGTTAAGAGAACCTTCCAGGGAATCTGGGGTTGTTTACCAGTACCCACAGGCATCTGGGAACTCCAGCTCCTGGGGACCTAGTACCCTAGTGTGGCCTCCACAGGCACCTACACACTGGACACATACATATATGTGCCCATGTATGCATGCATGCCCCTCACACACATACAAATAGAAAATAAACTTTAAAAAATAACATGAGATGATTTTTTCATGACCGTAATGAAAAGCAGTCAACACGATGCCAATTAACATTTAGCCAAGTTCCTTTTAGAATCAAGTTACTGTTTGCCTTAAACTCAAGACTCCATTATGAACTGAAGAACTTAAAGGCTGTTTAAACTGACCACAGGAAACCTAATCCAACTTTCTTTGAATTCAATTTATATTCTTTTCTGTTCATGTAGGTGTTTAAAGGAGACAGGATAGACTCACATTTATGTTAAGCACAATTTTTAAGCCCAAATTTCATCCAAAAAGAGCAATGACAATATGCACGTAAACTGACCACCCTCCTAAAACAAATTTTAAAATGTGTTTTTTTCATTTATTCACTTTTAGTGTGTCTGTGTCTCTGTGTGTGCGAGTGTGTATGTGTGTGTGTGTTTGTACACATTCATGGTCAAGAACATGTCGAGAAGTCAGAGATTAATTTGCAGTAACTGATTCTCTTCTCCCACCATGTGTATCTCGGGGACTGAACTCCGTTCATCAGGCTAGGCAGCAAACAACTCTACCAGCAGAATTATTTCACAGGGCCAAAGTATATACATTACAGATTACAAATTCTTTAATTTACTTTTTTCAAAGAGTATTTAAATTTGATTTTGGGAAAAGTAGTTGCCTTTTCTAACATTCAATTTTAATGTAGCCTTCAATGAGATGAAAAGCTCTGTTGGTTAAATTACAGAAACATCTCACTTTCATTAGCACTTCCATCTACACAAAATACTGAAAGCTCTTCTACACATAACCAGGCCAAATCGCTTATAAAACAGGCCAAATATAATTTAAAGTTTTTAAAATAGGACTGAGGTCAGAAATGGCATTTGTTTTTCTTAATGTGATAAATTAGATGAAGCTTGTTTTGCCTAACATTACAAACACACACACTCTCAGACACACGTACACACCACGTAACTGTCCACAAGATTACACATATACACACTTCATATATGTGTGCATGCAATTGCATGCTCACACATGAGACCAACCTGACTCAGCAATGTCAGAGGTGATCCTGAGTGTGTTAAGACTCTTGACTGGCACATCCATCTTAACTAACGTGTTGTGTGTAGTGAAACACAAGGATCCACCCTTGTGACCCTTCCAGACAGAAGCAGCATCACGGTGTTGCCTCTTCGTCACCATGGAAACCAGATAGGCGTTTGTCCTCTGCTGTAATGCCGAAGTCCCAGACACGCAATCTTAGGAAGACTCTGGGTTCTCTGCTACCCAAACAATAGGAAATGAATTTATCCACAAATGGTCACTTTATCTACATAAGTGTTAAGTCACTGTGGTCTGACATGAAGGCTGTGCTGTTATTGCTTTAAACAGAATTTAATGAAACATAGTATCAAGTTATTTCAGGAAGTGTTAAGTAGAGGGGAAATAATATTTCCTGGAAAGGAAAGATCGAATGGCATTTTCGCTTATATTAATGTATTCACATATTATTTTTGCTTAAAAAGTCTGCACCTTTCACTTCCGTTGTCCCGCCTTTCACCACGGTCAAAGGGACAGGGACGTTGGATGAGTCATTTCCAATGTTTCATTTTGCTTGACATATCAAGCATGAAAGGTGAGGTGTGCATGTGATACTCCCTTGGAAAATCACCTAGATCTTGAGTAAAACCCCAAAACAGAAACAGGAAAGTGTGAATTGCATGCTTGGCTTTCACGGGTATAGGCACAGACTTTGCAGCAGTCATGGGACCATCTCATGGTCAGCTACACAAGAGAAAGGACGGGGCCACTTCTTCCTGATGGGCTAGCCTGGTCTCTGCTGCTTCCCTTCTGAGGACAACTCGCCTCAGGGGATGAGCAGGAATCATCCGCAGAGAACACAGATCTGACCCATGCTTTCCAGAGAAATATCCACAGCCTCCACATTTAAGTCATTTTCAAAAATTAATTTCTTGCTACAGATTTCACAACTGGTTAAGAATATGAAATTTGGGGGCTGGAGAGATTTCTCAGAGGTTAAGAGCACTGGCTGCTCTTCCAGGGGTCCTGAGTTCAATTCCCACTAGCCATGTAGTGGCTCACAACCCTCTATAATGAGATCTGGTGCCCTCTGCTGGTGAGCAGGCATACATGCAGGCAGAACATGGTATACATAGTAAATAAACTTTTTTTTTTTTTTTAATATTCTGGCATTTGAGCTCAGGGGTCTCTTTCCTGAGCCACATCTGTTTATTTGGTTGTTGCAGATTTTCCTCCTACTTTATGGTAGAGAAGTCACTAGTCAGAGTTCTTTCTAGTCTACACTCAACCTTCTAGAGAACTCTGGAAAAAAAGAAGACTCACCTAACCTCTCCAGGCTGTAGCCTTTCTTCTCATAACCCCAGACTCTTCTTAAACATTAAGACAGTACCTGTTACATCACCAACACTTTGTAAGAGCTAGCCCGAGAAACCCTTCCACAGATCCTTATGATAATCAATGGCACCAACCAACAAATGCTTCTTACCAAGATCTGAGTGGAAGCTGCCTTCTGTTATAAAAAGTCTTGGCCTAAAGTCGAGGATCATGGATTCAAATCCTAGACCTAACAGCAGTTTTGTTTTGTCATGTTTTGCAGTGTTCTAGGTGTTGTTGGTTTCATCATGAGCCAAAACAAGAAGTTGGGCTACCTATCCTTTGAGATACTTTCCTGCTCTGACACTCCATGACTCTCTCACAACCTCTGGGATAAACTGTCAAGTCACTTAAATGCAATACACAACTAAGAGTAGACTCTGTCGTCACTTTTATCTCCTCTTAACCATGATCACGTCATATGTGCCACCAGAAGACTCCATAGGATCAGAAATGTACATTATTCAAATAGGAAAGTAAATTGGGGCATTTGTAGTTGTTCTGCCTGAAAATGTTCTACCATTTGTCTCTTTGTCGCTTCAATCTGGAATGAACCTTCCAGCTCTAAGCAGGACAGAATTAACACTTGTCCTCCCTGACATATAACTACGCTCAATAGTTATTTGTGAAGTAAATGAATATGTAAATGGCACGGTCATTAATGCCACTCTTCATCTCATTTCAATAAAGTTTTTTTTTTTTTTTCTAAAAATCCAGTTACTTCCAGTAAAAGATTTCTTTTACATGCCGCCTTACTCTGAAGCTGCATCTGAGTTGAAGGACT